TCTTAACCACTGAGCCATTTCTCCAGCCCCCCAGACTTCAGTTTTTGAGAGGGATTAATGACCAGAGTCTCTCCATTCGAGGGAAATTCTTACTACTCAACTAAATAGGATTTCTTTTCTGCTCACATCTCCAAAGACTCAAACAATGTTCCCACGTGCTGCCGTGACCTCTTGCAATCTGCAAAGGTCAGTCATATTCCTAGAATATTCTGAAGCCCCTAAACCTCCCTGGCTTACTCTCTGGCCCCTATGCTGCAGCAAGGCCACATGGGAAGTCCTTCCAGAAGCTCTCCCTACCCCCTCAGCTTTCTATCCAGACCCCGCCTCCTGTGCCCATCCTTGCTCTTCCTACCACCTTTTCTGAGGGCTGCCACCTCCCTGCCCTGGGCACTCATTCACTTTCATGATTACATGTCTTCTCCATACTCAAAACAGACTTGGTATCCTCATCCATTTTTTTTTTTTTTTTTTTTGAGACAGGGTCTCACTATGTAACTCTGGCTGTCCTGGAGCTCACTCAGTAGATCAGGCTGGCTTCAGACTCAGAGATCAACCTGCCTCTGTCTCCTGAGTGCTGGGATTAAAGGCATATATGCCACCACCGCCTGGCAAATGCTTTTCATTTTAAGTAGGATTTATGTGTGTGTGTGTGCCGTGTGTGCAAGTGTTCCCTCATAGGCCAGAAGATAGCATCAACTTCCCTGGAGCTGGAGTTAGCTGCCCAGTGTAGATGCGAGGAGCTAAACCTGGGTCCTCTGAAAGAGCAGTAAGGGCTCTTAACTGATGTGGCATCTTTCTAGCCACTTCCACGTGTCTCTGTGTGATTTTTGTTTGAGACAGAGTTTCTCTATATAGCTCTAGCTGACCTGGAATTCTCAACGTAGATCAGGCTAGCCTCAAACTCCAAAGATGCACCTGCCTCTCTGCCCTTGGAGTTCTGGAACCTAAAGATGTGCACCTCCCGCCTGGTTCTTCTACAGTTCTCTATGACTTAAGTGGATGGCTGCAGTCAGTCACGTGAGCCTGTAGGAAGGGTGAACTTAGGCCTTTTCAAGCCTCCACCTTCCTCAGCTACAGCATGAACTGACACCTCTCAGGGCTGTCGAGATTTAGATGAAACAACAGGTGGAAAGTGTTAGGAACAACCTTAAGACCAGCCTCTCCGCCGACGCAAATAATTCCAATCAGACCAGATTAGACCGAATCAATGCCCATGTTTACTGCAGCTCCTGGGTGGCCCAGAAAGCATGGCAGGGAGAGAGAGACGGGGCGGGGGGGGGCACACAAGACCCAAAGACCATGCTTCTATTTTTGGTGGCAGCCTAAATAGCCTGTGGGAGTGGTCCTGACCCTCCCTGTGGAGGGGTCAGCACTTGGCAGATTTTTCTGGAGGTGGAGTCTGGACCAAGGCAACTCCCAGGGGGAGGGGGCTTGAGATGGATTGGCTCCCCAAGGATAAATGCCAGGGGCTGGGGTGACACTTCCAATCATCCCAGAATCCTTGGATATAGGAGTGTCAGAGGGCTGGGGTCTCACTTTCAATCACACATCCCAGACTCCTTGAATATAGGGTGTTAGAAGGCTGGGGTCTCACTTTTACAAACAGAAAGAGGTGACAAATGTGTCTGTCACAGGGCAGAAATTCAATATCAGTTATTTTGAATTTTTATTGTCCACCTCATTGCTCAATGCTTCTCATTTGGACACCTCTAGGGGAAACGCTGTCTCCTGAAGCACTAGGAGACATTTTCCTGCGACAGGGACAGCTCAATCTTGAGGCAGTCTCTTTCCCACCTTTGACGGTGGGAAGCTCCTGGCCAAGTTTTATACCCAACTGCAGATCTCTGCAGACCTGAGGGAGGCAGTGTGGTCCAGGGAGAGGGCTGAGTCTTACAACCCCATGGTACGAAGTGGAGCCATGGCTCTAGGCCTCCTGAGCCTTAAACCCTCACTGTGGGCAGCAAACATGCTGAGGACGATGCCTATCATAGAACTGCAGAGAACACACTTAAGAAAACCACAGGCCCACCAACCAGAATCAGGTGGGTGCTGGTGATGAGCCATCTTAGCTTTTCCTCTCTTTTGGCGGGAAAGGCATGGCCTGTGATATGACTAAGGCTGCCTGGCCCCCAATTTGTTATCCTCCTGTCTCAACTTCCCAAATACTCCCAAAGCAGGACTTTACAAAAAAAACAAAAACAAAACAACAACATGATTTCATACATATATGTAGTAGGACTTTTTTAAAAACATGACTTCATACACATATGTAGTGTATTTTCACCCATTACTCTCACCCCCTTACTTGTGCCGAACCTTCTAACAAGCACCCCTCTACTTTCCTGACTTTTGTTTGAGAGCCAGTGGGGTTTAATTAGGATTGCTGGCAAGAGCCTGGGCATGGAGTTATTCCCTGGGGCAGGGCAACTCACCAGGGGCTGCAGTGCTGAAGGAAAGCTTTTCTTCCCCTTCAACCCTAGCTTCTCAGGAAGGGGCTGGGCCTTGAAAAGCCCCTCCCCCACCCAGGTTGGGATGTTTCTGCCCCCCCCCCCAAGCCCCCGCCCTGTTTGGCGAGGCCACGTCTAGAAGACAGTATTTCACAACGATCCTCCCTGTCCTCCAGCTCTTCTGCCCACTTCCATGATATTACCCGACCCTTGACACAGACATGCCTGGTGTTTGCAATGACCAGAGAGGCATTGGATCCCCTGGAACTGGGTTACTGATGGTTGTGAGCTGCTATGTGGGTACTGGGAATCGAACCCAGGTCTTCCGCAAGAGCAGCCGGTGCTCCTAACCACTGTGGCATCTTTCCAGCTCTTACAGGTTCCCTTGAAGACTGAGTACGCAGTTACGATCCCCTGCACCAGCCACCGCTTTTCCCTGCAAGCAGTGGCTCTGTGACCAGGGTTGAGAGCAATACTACTCTATGGGGTAAACTAAGTATTCAGAGGGCAGTTTGAGAGCATGTCCATTTAGCAAAACAGCACAAGGTTTCACCCTAAGGCCTATGACCTCCGCAGCCATGGGCTTTTGAGCAGGTCTATAGATGTCAGACATGGATTCACTCTTACGGAGTGGACCTCAAATTCAATCAGAAAGCAGTTGGTTACCCTTGAACAGTCATACCAAGATTGCATAAGTGGGCACAGCTTGCCCAGCACTGCAGCTCACAGGGTTCACCTCTGGGTCTGCGGGCATCTTCCATACTATGAAAGCTGACCAGGAGGGAGGACACTTGCAGCTCAGCTAACTTCATTTCCCCATGTCCTGCCACTGAACCTTGTGTCTGGCCACAGGGTCTTCCCTCTGGTTCTAATGGACAGTGAAGAGCAATAGCAATGGCCTGCATTGTCCTGGGAGTTTGGTAGGATTTCTGTTTACATCTTTATGTCTGTGTAAGGGTGTCACATCCCCTGGAGTTACAGACAGTTGTGAGCTGCCATGTGGGTGCTGGGACTTGAACTCAGGTCCTCTGGAAGAGAAGATTTTAACCACTGGGCTATCTCTCCAGCCCGTGAAAGTCATGGGGTTTTATTTTTTCTGGGTAGGATTTCTAGTATAGTTATTTCCCACCTTTCCTTTTCATACTCACATTTTATCTTCTGAACTTTGCTTCATGGTTTCCTTATTTTTATATTGTGTGTGTGAGGGGTCACCTATGCCATTTATATTGTGTGTGTGTGAGGTCACCTATGCCATTTATATTGTGTGTGTGTGAGGTCACCTATGCCATTTATATTGTGTGTGTGTGAGGAAGTGGAAGTATACAAAAGGTGACAAAAACAATTCCTGAAGAGCAGTCTTCCGGGGACCAGAAATAATGCCTTCCACTTGTTTTGGTTATATTTTTCCTTCTAATTAGAAAAGTGTTTAAATGGAGCTTCTGGGTTTGGAGCTGCTTGATATTTCAGTATCAGTGCTAAACTGAGATGAGCTGAGGCTGGCCCAATGGCTCTTTCTGTTGGGCTTGCAGACAGCGAGTGACCGCTCACTCGCCCTCGCTTACTTACCAGGTGCACAGCAAGTGACCTCCCAACACGGCGGCCACTATGTGGTTGCAGCCAACAGTGCAGTATGGGGAAGGGTTACCTCTGCCTTTAGAGGGGTGCTAAGTGAGCAGAGGACACCATTCGGTGCACCCCAGAAAGCCTGTGGGGAGCCGACACTCAGGAAGATTAAGATCTCTTCCGTTGGCACCAGGAGGAAGAGGGCCAGGTAGAGGAAACATGGTATGGTCCCTTCAGGTAACTCCAAGTGACTCCCTGTGCTCGGGCAGGGATGCGGCCTATTGAGTACCTGAGTTTTAGCTTGAAGATGGGAGGGTGGTGTGGCAACTGATGCATCCGATCATTAATAAGGACCCCGAGAATCACAGCCCAGCTCCACGCTAAGAGTTGCTGGATCCCAACACCGAATTCTAAAGATACAATCTCTACAAGCAAGGGCCATTTTCCGTTGCTGGATTCAGCTAGGGTTTGCATGAACACAGAACCTAAGAAAGGTAGGCAAGGGCACCAGGATGGGCCCTAGTGACCTTTGAAATGGCTGTCAAGGTTCCCTGACAGGAAAGCAAGCCCAGTAGCTTAAACTGGTGCCATGCGCTGGGATCTGTGGCTGGGGAGCTGCCCTGGGCAGCAAATGGGTTAATGCTCAAATAACTTTTATATATGAATTAATGTGCAGAGCTAGGAGCCAATCTGTCCCATTAATTTTTCCATCCATTCCAGGAGCAGTTAGGTACACACAGGAAAGTTTATTTTGGTGCGTGGCATACTTCACTCCATTAAAAATAAATTAATCAGCAAATTCCTGCCTGGCTCGCCTCTGGTTTATGAAAACAGTGCCCAGATGTAATGAGTTACAAGGTGTTACTATCTCACACTCACAGAGGACGCTTCACTCCAGGGCCCCGCTCGCGACAAAAGCATCTTAAATAAACCAATGGAAGGCGGCTTGATTTGTAATGTTTTCACAGAAGTGGCGCAGAGCACACAGTATAGAGTTTCTGTATGTGACTCATTTATAGCAACTCAATGAAGGAAGCTGGATGGGGGAGGGAGGGGCACAACGGGACCTACCCCCTTCCCTCAATTTCAGAAAACCTTCCAAGAGATGACCCAAGCTCTCAGAGAGGAGAGAACAGGTCCCCTAAGTGCTCAGACCAGGTGCCCCTTCCAGTACATGCTCTAGAAGCTGGGGAGGGGGTGGAAACCGGGCTTCGGCTGGGGCTTGGGATGGTACCAACAGGCAAGGAAGAATGCTCTTGCTATCTCGTGTCAAAGGAGGCTGAGAGGGGAAAGTCAGAGCATTCCTTCCCAGTCCACTGTGGGTGACAAAGGGACTTTTGTCCTCAAGACCTCTTTCTAAATGACTTAGGATATGACGAGCCCCTTGGCCCACAAAGGCCTCCTGGGTCCCAGAGAATGCGCCTGGCAGACTATGTTTTGCCCACACAAGGACTCCTCTCTGTGAACTGGAGACAGGAGCGGGAGCAGAGAGCAGCCGGAGCTAATTCTCGAGCGTGGAGCATCCACCATCTGGCCTATGTTTCTTTGTTTTGTTTTTGAGACAGGGTTTCTCTGTGTAGCCCTGGCTGTCCTGGAACTCACCTTTGTAGACCAGACTGGCCTCAAACTCAGAGATTAGCCTGCCTCTGCTTCCCATTGCTGGGATTAAAGACATGTGCCACCACATCCGGCTTTCCTATGTTTCTAAAAGACCCTGGAACAAAGAAGAACCATGGCAGAAATAAGTTGTTTTTTTTAATGGCTACTTCAACCCCATGGCTCACAGCTGGGGGCCAGTATATGGTTACCCATCTTGACTTAGCACTAGAAACTGCTCCTAGACACAGGGGGACCTGGGTGGGTGGGCCCCATTTCTAACCAACTCATCCCTTCCTCAGCCTTCTGGAAAAGCTCTCAGTCACGTGTGTTGCTTAAGGGACTTGGGAAGTGTGCTTGGGGCTTCTCTTGAGGGAGGTAACATGTCAGAAGAGCGAGAGGATCCCCCCACCACACACACAAGCAGGACTCCCACTGGATCAGACTTCTAGGCTCAGAAGAAGAAACTCAACACAAATGAGCTGAGTATTCAACAGGTGCTGTTCAAAAGTCAGTTCAGGCCACCTTCTTCAGGGTCCTGGGACAAACAGGCACTTCTTCCATGGAGGTTCCTCCAAGCCACCCAGCTAACTGTCCAGAGGGGCCAGTGTCTCAAAGGCCCTCATCATTGTAAGTAGGAGTATGGGGCTTCAAGATGCTTTGTGGGTTCTTTTCCACCAGAGGGCGCCATTTCACTTCCCCTGTCAGAAGTAGATCCTCACCGTTCATGGAGTCCAGGTATTGCATCTGGAAGTAGAGAGCAGGGGACAGAGAAAAGGCATAAGTGGGGGTGGCAAAGACAGCTTCCCCAAGGGGAGGAAAGGGAAGAGGAAGGAGGAGAAGAGAAGGGGAGGGAGTGGTGGTAGCAATCTGACGGTCCAGCTCCCAGATTACAGCACTAGGATTTGGAGAAATAATGGCCTAGGGCAGTGGTTCTCAACATGTGGGTCATGTGACCCCTTCTCAAAGGGGTCACATATCAGATATCCTGCATATCAGGAATTTACATTACAATTCATAACAGTAGCAAAATTACAGTTACAAAGTAGCAACAACCCAGCTGCAACAAAGTAATTTTATGGTGAGGTCCCCACAATGTGAGGAGCCACACTAAAGGACCTCAGCATCAGGAAGGTTGACAGCCACTGACCTAGGGAATCACACTGTCGATGTTTTAGGAAATTGCTATCACGTATCCTTGCTCCACCCATCCCCTATGAGGGACACTGAACCTCTGCTACCCCTCATTACAAGTTCTTGCAGGCCAAGAAGGTAGAACAGATGATTTCCGGAAGTCATCCTGTCTACTCTCTGCCTGTCACTGGTGCTGTTGCACAAAGTGATCACTTTTGAAACTTCGTCCCCTTGTCCGAGAGCAGCCGGAAATGTGTATCTTACGAAGCACGGCGGGGGGGGGGGGGGACGACAGTGAAGTGCATGCAGAATACTGGCACACCAACACTTTTCCTAACGTCTTTGACACCTTCATCCTTTCGTGGTCCTGATGCTGCCCGGTGGGTCCAGTTTGTCCTGCCCCACATGGCAGACTCCCTTATGGGGAGAGCAAGGAAGACTGGGGCTTTATCTTAGGCCTTGGATCATCTCCTCTTCCAAGAGCACACTGCTCCTGTTTCATTTTGAGACTGCCTCTTGAACTTAGCCCCAGCCTCTGACCCGAGAGCCCAGCATTCCAGGTGTCTGCAGTTCAACTCCGCCATAGGCCACACCTCGCTCCAGCTCCTCCACCACTTTGCCTACATCCTGGGTTAACTTTAACTGCAGATGGGTTACCAAATAGTAACCAATTTATTGTGTGGGACCAGAGACGGCTCAAGGCCCAGCTTCCCGGGCTGCCCCGACACACCATGTCAGAACATGCCTTTTCCTGGCTTCCCCAGCACCCTCCTGAACCCAGCTCACACTACGGGCTGGCCAACTGCCTCCAGGGCTGCCTGTGTGCTTGTCTGGCTCCTGGCACTCTGCTCAGCCCAGACCTGACGGCAGGTGTGCTCAGGCGTGACAGAACTGAGCCCCCATCAGAAGCTCCTTGCTTTCTTAGGGCCCCACCACTGCCCACTTCTAAGGGGGCAAATGAGGGGCACTAGTTATGGCAATCCCTCCTTTTGGGGCCCCTGCAGAGAGTCTGGCTGTGCCTTGTCATGGCCTCCGGCACGAGCCCACCAGGACAGATGGGAAAGAATGGGTGGGTCTCTAAAAAAAGTGTTTACTTTGCCAATTTCAACTCCTAAGGGTGAGGCTCTCTAGCCACAGTGCCTTCGCCCCGGCTCTGGTGGATCTGAAGAACAGTCAAATGGCAGTGTTGGCCTCTGGGACTCCCTACGCTCTGGCTACCAACAGCCTCAGCAACCAGCTAGACCCATTAGCCTGTCTCCTCCAGAGCTGGGGTCTGGCCTTCCCTGTCCTGCTTGTTGGAGGCTAGCAAGGCCATGGAGGTAAACTCAAGGATTACTATGGCATGATGCCCTTTCAGCCCCAGGGGCCAAGTCCATGAAGCAAAGGTGTGACTCACAGACAGCTCAAGCTGGTGAGCTGTCTGCAGCAGCTGTGGCCTCTAGTGGTTAAATGATTCACCCAGCTTGGGTTCTGAGGCCAGTCGTGCAGGGTGAACCACTGGGAGACCCCAGAAAAGCCTCCATGGCCCGCCTCAGGATGAGTGAATCCATTCATGCAGAAGGCATGTGTTTCTAATCCATGCAGGATCTAGGGCGGGAGAGCAGGAGTTAATTCTGCCCTGTGCTCAAGCAGTCCTCACAAGGAGCTCCTCTTGGAAGCCTTAGGGTCAGGAATCCTGAAAAGCCAGAGGGGTAGGGACCTGGCATGGGGACCCTGATTGACAGTGCAGAATAGCCGGTGGGGAAAGCTGGAGAAGCATCTGTCGGGTGCTGCCTGGAGCCTGGTTCTGCCAGCAGTCAGGAGTACAGGAATGCACACAGGCACAGTGGGTGACATTATGCCTCATGCCACATTTCCAGGACTGAGAGAATAGTACTTAGCCTGGCACCTAGCACCAGCAGGTAATGAAACAGCAAATGAATACCACGGCTTTCTGAAAGCAGCAGGCTCTTCCTTTCTTCTCCGTCCCCACTTCTGGGATCCTCAGCCTGGTTCACAGCTGGATACTAAAGGTGCCCATTCTTTGTTCACAGTTGGACACAAAGTGTGCTTGGTCCTCACTGTTGTTGTTTTTTGTTTGTTTTGCTGTCTCGTGTACCCCCCCCCCCACACACACACAGGGTCTCACTATGTAGCCCTGGCTGTCCTGGAACCCTCTCTATGTCGACCAAGCTGGCCTCGAACGCACAGGAACCTGTCTGCTTCTGCCTCTGCTCCCCAAGTGCCACTATGCCTGGTCAAAGATGTTCATGTTTAAGCTATGCCTGGTGGCTCACAGATGAAGACAGGAGGATCAGGAATCCAAGGCCAGTCTGGGCTACATGAAACCTGAAAGGAAGAAGAAGGGAGGGAGGGAGGGAGGGAGGGAGGGAGGGAGGAAAGGAGGGAGGGAAGAAAGGAAGGAGGGAGGGAGGGAGGAAAGGAAGGAAGAATAAAGGAAGGAAGGAAGGAAGGAAAGAAGGAGGGAGGGAGGAAAGGAAGGAAGAATAAAGGAAGGAAGGAAGGAAAGAAGGAAGGAAGGAGGCTCGTTTTCATTAGTGCTTGCTCCTGATGTGGTTGGACCAGAACCCCTTAAACTACCTCCTGGTCAGTCGGCCTCTCATGACCTTCCAAGATGCTAGCACCATGCACTCAGGGGGACTCAACTGCCACCAGCTGTGAGCAGGGAGAGGCCGCTAACCTGTTTCCTCACGTACTCCACCAGCAATTCAAGCTGCCGAGGGTCTTCACATTTCTGGTTGAAGAAGGTTCTCCAGAGGGCAGCAGCTAGCCCACGATCATCCGAAAGGATCCCCTAGAACATAGAACGGGATATGTCTTGCAGAGCCGTGATACAAAAGCTGGGATATTTGAACAGGAGACCAACTTTTTTTTTGAAGTGTGGGCGGGGGTTTGCTGAGACAGGGTTTTACTGTGTAGCTCTGGCTGGCCTGAAACTCATTCTGTAGACCAGGCTAGAACTCACAAAGTTGTCTCTGCCTCCTGAGTGTTTCTTCTTTGTTTAGAAGTAAATTTTATTTTTATTTTATGTATATGAGGGTTTGGCTGCATGTGTATCACGTGAGTGCCTGCTACCCATGGAGGCCAGAAGAGGGTGTCAGATCCCCTGGAACTGGAATTGCAGTGAGCCATCATGTGGGTGCTAGGAATTAAACCCGGCTCCTCAGGAAGAATAGCCAGTGCTCTTCATCACCAAGTCATCTCTCCAGCCCCTCAATATTTTTTTATACAGGAGGAGGACTGGCTAAGGTAATGTAGAGCTGGCACTCACCTTCCAGGTATGGCCACACCCACTGTCCCTGGAGTAGGCAATGAGTGTCTGCAGGACCCAGCAAGGGTAGTGTGGTAGCCATACTTCTGCTGCTGTTCACAGGTTGCGGGCTGGCAGCATTGCAAGTCTGTGTTTGCCTGGGCATGGCATGGGGATGGGTGCGAACTGCTCATACTTGCTTGGTCCAAGGTCACACACCTGCAAGGTAGCTGGCTCTTTGGGAGAGGGAACTAGGTACCTTGCCTTTGCTGTCACCCATCTGGCAATGATAGGCCCAGACTCTGAGGAAAGGAACAGGCTGTTTAGTAGGTTTGCCATGGGCCACAAGAGTCGCATAGGGCAATGCTCAGAACCTGTCTGTGTGCCCGATATTGCCTCTACTGGCACTGGGAACTCTGTTTGGAAGCCCAGATATTATTATAGAGGCCAATTACAGCCATTTTCTAGCTCAGACCTCTAGGGCAGGGAGGATGAAGGGAACTGAAGGGAAAGGCCCTGGGAAGTGCTTCTGCCTTTGTGCCAAAGTAGGACATGGAACTGAAGCGTTGCCTTGGACTCAGAAGGCTGGACCTAGTCTGAGCTCTGTCTGCCACAGTCAGGGTCAATGGTTATGGCTAAATCCGAGTCTTAGGGCTTCTTGGATACTCAGAGGGATGGAAACAGCGTTCTAAAAGGGGTGGGGTGGTGCATGGCTATCGCCCCAGGACTTGCGTGGTAGACGTGAAAGAAAATACTCGCTCTACCTACAGCATCCTCGAATTACAAAGATGAGGTAATGTGGCCTGGGGGTGTGGCTCGGTGGTGGAATACTTGCTTAGTGTCTGCAAAGCCCTGGAGTCCTGGCACCACCACACAAAAAGGAAAGGCTTTTTAAAAAGAATTACACTTATTGATTCTGCATGCATGTGGGTATGGGTGTGCACACACCACAGAGAGTGTGCAGAGGGCAGAGGAAAGCTTGCAAGGTTTGGTTCTCTCCTTTCACCAGGTGGGCCCTGGGATCTGGCCTGGCCCAGAAGGCTTGGTGGTAACTCTCACCAGCATAGCCTTTTGATTTTTGTGACAGTCTCATGTACCCAAGGCTGCCCTCAAACTCTCTAGATAGCCAAGGGAGACCTTGGATTCCCGACCCTCTCTGCCTACACTTCCCAAGTACTAGAATTACAGGCACGTGCCATTGTGCCAGGCTACAAAGCCATTTTAAAAAGTGATATGTATTGGGTACAATCAACAAAAGCATGCTTTAGCTGGAAGCTAACAGAGTTGAGACGACAGTGGGATCTTGGAGCCAGACTACCTAAGTTCAATGCCAGCTCTGTCGCTTTATGGTAGTGTGGCCTTTGCAAAGCCGTTAGCCCCCCTGGAGCCTCAGTTTCTCACTCGTTAGCTGAGCCTGATTAATTCCTATCCCACAGAGTTGCATTAAAGAGACAATGTCCATGGGAGGCTCTCTGCCTAGAAAGGATTACAAAGACACAGGGACACTTTGTGCTCTAGCCTCATGGCCCTGTGGTATATAAGGTTGACTCCAGGTTCAACCTATGTGCAGGGAGTTAACAGACAGGTGGGAAGCATTCCACCCACTTGAGGTGCCTTCTGCTAAAGAACCCCCCAGGTCCAAGGCTGAAGACTGTCCTGGTGTGATGGTCGAGCTGGGGAAATCCGCTTCTCCTAGCAGATGGCAACGACGGCCAAGGACAAGCTCGGGCACATCATCCTCCCGCGAGCCATTTGCTAACACAACAGCCCGCCTGTGTGTGAAGTGCCCTGGGCACAGGCGGGACGCTGCTGGCAGAGACCCACTTATGTGATATGGGAAGGTGAGATGGAGTGTCAAATGGGCTTGGAGAATGAGCAGAGCCCAGAAAAATAGAAGCAGGGGAGTCACAGCTTGCTGCAATCAGGGATCCCGGAGCTGCAAATGCATACAGAGGGGTCCTGAGCAGTTAGAGGGCAGAGGGGGACTCAGGAGGCGTTGGCCCTTCTAGCCCTTCAAAGAAGCTGTTCCAGATTCCCAGGTCTCCTTGCCAGCCAGCGTCTAATGATTACCTGCACCAGAGAACACAGGTATTATTACCCCACTCAGATAAGTACTGAGATTCAGGGGTTAGCGAGGTAATTGGTGTTGAGAGAGGAACCGGCCTGCATTGCTGAGGTCAGGGGATGGTGCCTGCCTAGCCATCACCCAGCCCTGGCACAGATCCAGAGTGCTGAAAATGGCAGACTCCGACACCAGACCCAGCTGCTGCCTTCTTTCCATCAGACTGCTAGGAACTCATTGGAAACAAACGGGAGTCTATTCAAGTACGCAAATCTGAATGGCAAGAAGCAGAAGAGGAGAAAGGTACCAAGCATTAGGGTGCAGGGCCAATTTCCCACAGTCTAGTATGGGCCCACTGTTACCTCATGGCATAAAAGAAGGCATTCCTTAGGAAATTAGGGTGTCTGGTCTAGAGTAACAGAGGAAGGTGTGGTACTGCCCTCGAGTGGCGACTTCCACTATGTGCCTAGCACAATGCTAAGAGCACAGAGTCCTAGCGACTGGGCTCAGTTCTCAGGGGCTTGCAATCCAGAAGGGAGAAGGTAGCACAGAGCAAAATCTTGGGCAGTGAACAAATGCTAAATTCCTTGGTGAGACCATCGCTGCCTTTGCCTCCTCGTTCTTCAGTCTTTCCTTCTGAGTAAGTCTTTGGAGAGCTCCTCCCAGCCCATACTGTATTGTCCACTGCTAGTCTCCATCAGTGCCCTCTGTTAGTGAGCAAACATGCATCTGCTTAGTCAGTACTGACTTGTGTGCCGCCTGTCTCAGGAACTCCACCGGGCAAGAGACTGAACCATGCTTGATTCACCAACATTTTCCTCACCTACCACACGTGATAAAACATGCCAAAAACACTGTTAAAAGGATAGATACATGGTGAGATGAAGAGTAAAAGCAAGAGAGATCTAGAGAGCTTAGGAAAGAAGTGTGCAAAGAAGTGACCTATAAGAATAGGGAGGAACATCTGGGCAGTGGTGGCACACGCCTTTAATCCCAGCACCCAGGAGGTAGAGGCAGGTGGACTTCTTGAGTTCCAGGCCAGTGAGTTTCAGAACATCCAGGGTTACCAAATAAATTGTTTCAAAAAAAAAAAAAACTAAATTAAAACTAAAACAAAAAAAACCAACAAACAAAACAGAATAGGCAGGACCAACTTTAATCCCAGCACTTAAGAGATGGAGGCAGGAGGATCTCTGTGAATTGCAGAAATGGCTCAGTGCACTTGCAGATCTGACTTTGGTTCCCAGCACCTATATGGTGGTGACTCTAATTCCAGGGGATCTGATGCCCTCTTCTGGCCTCCACTGTATCTGGTATGCACACGGTGAATATATTACATTCAGGCAAATACACATACATACATAAGTTAGTCTTTCAAAAAATTATTTATTTATTTACTTATTTATTGTGTATATAGTGCTCTGCCTGCATGTATGTCTGCAGGCCGGAAGAGAGCACCAGATCTTTCTATACATGGTTGGGAATCACTATGTGTGTGCTGGGAATTGAACTCAGGACCTCTGAAAGAGAAGTCAGTGCTCTTAGCTGCTGAGCCATCTCTCCAGCCCCATTAAGTTAGCCTTTAAAGAGATGGGGAGTAGGAGGAAAGTTGCAGAACATTCTAACCAACAGAGAAAAGTGCATAAACACAGAGTGTCTTTCACAATAACAAGCTGACTGGCCCCTTCCCGGCTACTGACTTCAACATTCAATGGCCAGAAGGGCAGCGAGGCCAAAGACCCCCCTCGGAGGACAGGCAATGAGAGACAGCTAGAGAGGGCACGCAACAGCACAACAGCTCACACAAGGCCTGTGATATAGTGAAGCATCTGAGCTCAACAGAGCAGGAAGACAGGGAGGGAAGGATGAGCCAGCCACATGTGAAGGTTCCTCATTGTCTACCACGGTGGTTTCTGGCCTGCGGTTACGGAGCACCAATGGGACCACCACGATGAGGCGGTGACAAGTTTATTTAATGAAATCGAGAACAGTGGCAAGCAGCTCATCTTGGGCAGGTCCAGAACACTGTGACTATACAGTGTTCTGAAAAACGGCCGCACTGCGCGGCTTGCAGCTTCTCTGAAGTTCTTTGGGTTCCAACCCACAACGGCCGAGTCTAACACAAATTTTACCCCATTTTGTATGTGATTCACGTGCACTTCAAAATCTAAGAAAAGGTGTTCTGGCTGAACTTACTCATCTAAACCTTCTGGGAACTTTTGTTGTTGTTGTTTATTTTTTATTTAATTTTATATCATGCACCTTAGTGTTTTGTCTGTGTCAGGTTCCCTGGAACTGGAGTTGCAGACAGTTGTGAGCTGCCATGTGAGTGCTGGGAATTGAACCCAGGTCCTCTGGAAGAGCAGCCAGTGCTCTTAATTGCTGAGCCATCTCTCCAGCCCCTTGGGAACTTTTACATCTATGGCTGTCAACCCATACCAGTTAAGACAGAAACTTTGGGTAATGGATTCTTGCCACTAAATTTCTAGAAAGTATCCCAGGTAACTAGCATGTTTTCCAAGCTTTCCTGTTCATGCCACCTGGGTGCTTGCTGAAGAACCAGGTGGCTCCTACGGGAGCAAAGCCTTCCGAGGGTTTAGGGATCAGATTCAAAGTGTCTCCTGGGTGCAGAACATGAAGGCTCCAGCAGATGGTCCTAGACCCATGCACATACAGACAGCAACAAGTGAACTCAGGGGGGTGAAAGAAAAAGAAAAGAGAAGAGAAGAAAAAAGAAAAAAAAGGGCAGATGAAGTTGGAAGGGAAGGTGGTAGGGGAATTGTAGGAGAGGGAATGGGAGGTGGATTTAATCAAAACACATGATATGCGTGCATGAAATTCTCAAGCAATGAAGCAGGGGACTTAAAAATGGGCTGGAAACATAGCTCAGCTGGCAGAGTGCTTGCCTAGAATGCACAAAGCCCTGGGCTCAATCCCTAACATGAACGAACTGATGATAGAACATGCCAGCCGAGATTACAGGCATGTGCCACCATGCCCAGTTTCACTCAGTTCAGAGAATCAAACCCAGGGCTTTGTGAATTCTGGGCAAGGGATCTACCTGCAGAGCTACACCCCAGCCCTACTCTGTACATTTCTTCCCCTCCACACCGCATGCCAAGCACCGTGTTAGACATCAGAAACAATTGGGCATTGTCACTTCCCAGAAGAAACCCACACCCAGCCAGGTGACAGATGGTTAATGCTGGGAAGCGCTGTGAGCAGCCACAGGAGGTGGGATGAGCTCAGCCTGGGGAAGGTCAGGATCCTTTCCTAAGAGGCAGTGCTCTCACAAAGTCGGGAGTTAGCCACAAAATGAGTTTAAAAGCACAACATTTATAAAGACAAAGCTGAGGTATGATGAGTGCCGGGAGTGCGTATACAGGTGAGGTGTTTATCACACCTGAAATTTCCATAATAGAGCAGGAGGGCTGAGAAATGACACACAATATGGATGAACCTGGAGACACACTTCTAGGTGAAATAAGCCAGCCACAAAAGAGCAGACACTGTAAGATTCTACTCACACGAGTTCCTAGTCAATTCAGAGAAACAGAAAATAAAAAAAAGTGGTTGCCAGGGACTGGGAGGAGGAGGAAATGGAGAACTGGCATTCACTGGGCAGACTTTAAGTTTGAGATTGTGACTGTTCAACACGCATAGCTCTGTGCATAAAGCACTCTACAGAAAAGTGTGCAGGCGTAACCCGTTGGCATAGAGGCAAGGAATTGCTGTCTGTGCACAGGGGACACCTGGAAGGAGACTCGATGATCTATGACGACTTCTCCTTCGGGGCTGGAGAAGAACTAGGTCTTTATTTGTATTTCAAGCAGATATGTACAGTTTTGTGGACTTTAAAAATAAGTATATGAAGCTAGGTGTGATGGCCACGCCTTCAATCCCAGAACTTGGGAGGGAGAGGCAGAGGGAGAGGCTGGTGGATCTCTGAGTTTGAGGCCAGCTTTGTCTACAGAGGGAGTTTCCCGGGGCCGGCCAGGGCTACACAGAGAAACCCTGCCTTGAAAACACAAAAATGAGCATACTGGGGGCTGGAAAGATGGCTCAGCAGTCTAGAGCATTTGTTGCCCTTGCAGAGGAACTGGATTCAATTCCCAGCTTCCACAACCATCCTCGCAACCATTCTCACTCCAGTCCAGAGGATCCAGTGCCCCTTTAGGCCTGCACAGGCACCAGGCACTCACGGATCATATATACGCAGAGGCAAAAAGTTCATACACAAAAACAAGTATAAAGTGCTGCTTTAAAATGAAAAATACAACAGAATACATCTGTCCCACAGATCATGCTGTTGACATATGAGTGTCTTGCATTCTCTGGCAAGAGCTGAGACCATAGCAGTGTCTGATTCGCCTTTGGCCCCATCCAGCACTCAGCAGGCACTCAATGCTAACGTGTTAAAGGCTTGATCAAATTATACAATGTTCTCTTTCCCCAAGCACTCAAAGAAGGCGAAGAAATTAATAGTAAGCAAAAACGGCAAGCGGAGAATATGGTCCTCAAGGCTTCCTTCACACAATCCCCTCGAGGCTGGAGATGGCTCAGCGGCTACAAGCGCCTGCTGCTCTTACAGAGGTCACAAGTGGGGTTCTGAGCACACAAATCAGTGAATCACAACTGCCTGTAACTTCAGCTCCGGGGGATCCAGCACCCTCTTCTGGCTTCTGCAGGTACACACACACACACACACACACACACACACACACACACACGGCACACGCACACGCACACACACACGCACATACACATGTAGTGGGAGGCTTTGCCGGGATTGGCTGTGGTTGTGTACCACTTTGGTTCTAGCACCCACACTGTGTGGTTCACAACTTAAAATCCATTAATTCCGGCTCCAGGGGATTGGTGCCCTTTCCTGGCCTCCACAGGCCCTGATATGCACTTTTACACAAGTGTGCCAGACACTCACACAGACACATACACATTAAAAAAAAATTCTTTAAATGGAAAGGAAAAGGGGTGGAGGGAAGAAGGCTGGTGTGCCTTTGCGGGGGGGGGGGGGAGAGGCTGGGGCCTAAGGCTCGACAAATGATCTTACCTCATCATATCCCAAGATTGCCGCATAGAAATTGTTTGTCATGAGGGCCATGTTCTTCTTTAGGAGATAGGAATTAATCTACAAAAACAAAGGTAAGAAAGTAAGGAAAAGCATGATGTCCTTAGCTGTCACAGGTGTGAAAGAGAAAGGGACTCAGTTTAAGCTGCCAGTCCATTTCAAGTCCCCAGCTGTCAGGATTTTCCACAATGAAACTGTCACTTCATTCAGGTTTTGATTCAAAACTATGTTCATTTTAATGACTCAACCTTCAAATACACAAGCGCTTTGCGTTAGTGCTGATCAGCACAAAGGATTAGAAACAGTCTGAGTACTGGACCACACAGCCCAGCATAGAAAAACAGGCCCACTCCTGTAACCCCTAGCGTTGTGTGTATGCAAGTATGCATGTTCAAGTTCAAGGTCATAACAAGGTCATACAGCCTGGACCAAATGCCACCTTGTCCCGAAAACAACAGAAGGGCCACTGAGATGGTTTGGCAGGCAAAGGTGCTTGCTACCAAGTCTGACAACTTAAGAGTTCGAGCCCCAGGACCCACACAATGGAAGGAGAAAAGTGACATCTACAGGTTGTTCTCTGACCTCCATATGCACACACACATCAGTAGGTAAATGTAATTTAAATTATTATTGTCTTATTAATATGTATATGTATGTAAAATACCTGAATGAAGTTACCTAAGGGAGGAAGGATTCATTTTGGTTCACAGTTCTAAGAGGACACAGTCCACTGAGCAATGGAAGATGTGGCTGTAGGCAAATGGTGGGGAGTGAGGCTGCTAGTTCACATCTTGGTGGGTTGGGAAGCAGAAAGCTTGGAGTAAAGGTGAGGCCCTACTGTACTCCTCAAAGTCTGGTCCCCTGCAATACTCCCCCCCTCCAGGTAGCTGCCATTTCAAGGGTTCCACAGCCTAACAGGTCCATCACCTAGAAACTAAGTGTCTAGACACATGAGCCTGTAGGGGGACAGTTTACATTCAAAGTATAACACATAATAAATCAAAGACCGAGTGACTTTTATCTTGGGGTTCATAACTGGTCTCTGGAGGTCAAAAAAGGCAAAAGAGTTTAGGTTTAGACTCAGAAAACCCGGATTCAAGTCCTAACTCCGGTATATATTTTGGATGCGGTCTTGAGCAAGCCAAGCTCTCTGAGGCTGTTTTGTCTTCTTAAATGCCCTGCACACAAAAACTGTTTTCAAGAGCACAGAAGTCCGTTTGCATTCATTCATTAAGTTAACAGCATACCCTGGAAGTCTTGGTAAATGGCAGCTAACTCTGCAAACACACGGAACTGTGAGTAAGACCTGCCTTGTTTACACAAAACTAAAACCAAAAGCAGTCCCAGTGCTTTACAGTCATGAACAATGTTCAGCAGTGAAGAGAAATTGTGAGGTTCGAGGCTGGAAAATATGAGATTGCTGGTAGCTGGGCGTGTAAGCCATGACCTTTCCTCCCCACCTTCAAGCCAGGCCACATTAGCCACTGCTCCTTTGTGCTTCCCCCCTGGGTATACAGTATGGTTGGAGCTGCTTATACATGTCTTTCCCACCAGTCTGGGAGCTACTCAAGCTTGGGTCAAAAGAAACAGGACTGAATCATTTTGGCACCCAAACACCTGGTCCAGGACAGGGGCTAAGACAGGCATAACATAATAAATCCGTGCAAGGTCACCACCCAGGGCTGGGGATGTAGCTTAGGGCTGAGTACTTTCCTAGCATGTGTGAGGCCGAGGGTTCAGCACCCCAAACAAACAAACAAAAGCAAAAAAGCAAGGGCCACTCATAGCATGCCCTCTCCAGTGACACAAATTCTTTTGTTTTTGCTAAAGAAGCACCTTCCCTGTTTCTGGAATTCCAGAAATATATACCACTGTATTTCTTCTTACTGCTTCATCTAGTGTGCCGCGGTGAGACTCAGAACAGGCCAGAGCTAGGAGTTCCTTCTGTCACGTGAGGACAAGAGGTCAGCTAGCCCTCTTAACACACTTGGGTTCTTCCTTACTTAGGGACTAGTTGTTCTTCTAAATGTGCAAGACGACCAGAGCCAAAAAAGCATGCCAGGGGCATCTAACATAAGGCAAGGCACCACTCCTAGGAAAACATTTACTCAAGCTGATCAGACGGCAGAGTTAGCTTACGTTCCGCATCATGCCAACTAGCGTTGAAGCTGAAAGGGCCTTCGGGGATCACCTGGACCAGTGACCCCCAGGAAATAAATGGTGAAATGAGGCTAGAACACGGAAAGACAGACCCAAGGCTACACAGCAAGCTACCATCAGAGCGGGGTTGAAGCGGAGCAAACAGTCCCACTTCACCACCTAAAGGGTATTGCCAAAGATCCCCCAAATATTATTCTGCAAAGCTTGGTTTTGTTCTCCAGAGAGGCCCAGATAGGGACAAATGCATCATCTCATGGGAAGATGGCTGGCTGCTAAGTGTCTGGGGAGAGCGAAATACAGCCAGGAGCTCACTGGTAGCCAGGTTCTACTCCAGTGCCCTCCTGTGAGCTCCCCATCACTTCTACAGAGAGAGGGCAAATCGCCACAGCTAGGAATGGCTTTCTAATGTCACCACCCAGGCTAGACTAGCTCACGAGAAGGTCTCTTTCTGGAAGCCAGTGCAAGCTTCTCCTGCAGCACAGGGTCACTATGTATATGTCTATGTATATGTCATATGTCATGGTGAAATGACAGCACAGAGTCACTAGGCTCACCTCACTAGGTCCTCGATGCTAGAGCTTCCCTCTGCCGAACCCCAATTCTCCTCCACCCCCTTCACTTAAGCATTTATCTGCTGGTGTGCGGGGTCCCTGTCTCCCCAATGCTGGATCACCCTAGATGGAGCATGTTGCTTATGAATACACGGATCCCCCCGCAGAAGATGGTGTTGGGCTGTTTGCTCATTAAAATCTTATCCTTGTCCATAATGCTTTGCTTTTTATAAAAACCCATACATACTGAGCCACCACATGGGAAAGGCTCCTTTATGTCAGTTACTCATAGTTTCCCATTTATTTAAGCTATTAAAATTCATGCAGATATTTTATAAGCCATCAGGATTCGATGACTGCTATTACTGAATGTTTAATAATAAACTAAACAGAAGAAATCAGAGGGTTAAATGATGACTGCAATTCCTGTAATGACTTAATTAAATTTTTATTGAGTACATAAACTATGATGTCACTTCTAGCCAACCATGGCCCTGCTTTCGCAGCATGTCACAGGGTGGGAGCGCTCAATAGGAGGCTAGGCTAAATGAGCAGCAGGTCTCTGCTCAAGTGGGGGAGGGAGCAAGGCTCATGTAACACACTCAATAAATTATCTGTTCATTTTTAAACAAAGTCCATGAGTTATAATATATTTGCCATGCACTTTTTATGACATAATAAAAATGTTACCTTAAGGATTACTTAACACATACTACAAATGTTACAGCAGAGGCAGGCACAAGGGGCAAAGAAAACAAACATGAACAGGCCAGGGACGGGTCCCGGAGTTTATGTCCCCGGGGGAACAGCACAGTATATTAAAAGGGGAATGCAAAAAACAGGGGGTGCAAGTGTTCGGGGTTACTAATCAGCAGGTTAATGAATGAGACAGCCGACAGGGAGCACGGGCAAGAAGGGATCTCACGGGCACACGCTTAATTAATGGGAGTATTCTCAGGAAGAGATGTGAGCTGTAGAGATGGCAGTTCATCCGAGGCCAGTTCTCTGCCCCGTCCCCTTCTCACTGCTGCAGCCCTTAAAGATGTTTACGCTTAACAGAGGACGAGACTGTGGTGCAGAGACTGACCGAGACCTTGGTTTAGCCTCCTGAGCACTGGAAGGGACTTCAGGATATTTTTCCTAGGTTATTTTTTTGACCCCACTCCCTTTGGTCTTCCCATGTTCATTTTAGGCCTTGATCGGAGTCAACCTTGCCACTTCTACGGCTGTGTCGTGCTCCCTTGTTCTTAGCCACACTAGCAGAAGTCCTTTTTGTGTTTACTAGTGGAAGGGATGCTGGTCTTGCCTCCAAAATACTTCTCCCCAATCTACAGGTACCATGAATGATTCAAGGTTGAGAACAGGTCACATAATTAGCTAAGTGTGCCACCAGCTTTATGCATATCAGCCCAACTCATCCTTCCTGATGAACTCTGAGAGGGGACCATTTTATCTCCATTTTTAAAATTCCAGTTTTGCTTACTGAGATCTCAATATTTAAAATCTAACTGGATAATGTATGAAAAGCAAGGTACATGGTTGGCAATGAGAACCGCAAAACCAGCAGCCTTAATTCCTGAATGGTCACATAGCAGACATTTCCTTAGGGTTGCTAAGAAGGAAATCAAGCAAGAAAAGACACGAGGTATGGCGGTACATGCTTTGTAATCCCAGTTCCTCGGAGGCTTTGGATTGCAGCTCGTTTGACAAGCTGCAAGCGTGGTCCCAAGAGAGGTGTCAGCGCTGGCTTGGTAAAGTCTGTGTTAACAATGGCCCTGCAGGGCAGAGCTCAAAAGGAATTGACTGGGAAGGTTTCCGTTTAAAATCTGTGCTGATAATGACTGATGGGAAAGGATTTCTACACATTACATCTAGTTTGAGGATGTCTTCATGTTTAGGTCGTCTCTGTACCTTATAGTCAGAACTCTGTCCACTTGTGGCTCCTCCAACCTAACTGACACTGTTGCATGAAGAATCAGACAAACAAAGCAAAGGTTGTTTGCTTCTGGACTCCGGATGTAGGGGTAAAATTGGAAACAACTCAAAATTAGTGGAGAAATTGTCACAAGAACAAGACAAGATTTGACAAGGTCAAAGCAGGGTCATTTGCCAAAATAAATAAGTAATGGAAGGAAAAGTTTGAGTGAGCAGAAACCAGAGTCAGGGCAAATCTCTGATCATAGAATAGCAAGCCAGAAATATGAATGAGGGCGGTGGTGCAGGCCTGTAACCCAAGTAATGTTGACACAAGAAGCTGAGGCGGAGAATCACTAGTTCAAGGGCTGCCTGTGCTACAGAGTGAGTTCAAGACCAGCCTGAGCAACTTTACTGTCTGTCTCCAAATAAAAC